ATTCTTCGCTTTGTGTGTGTGTGTGTGTGTGTGTGTGTGTGTGTGTGTGTGTGTGTGTGTGTGTGTGTGTGTGTTAGTAGCTTTCAACGTTTCTCAAAATCATTATTCTGGTGTAATTGTTTGTTCATACTACTGCCGAGAGAACGGCCAGGTCAAGTGGGGTTTGTTACTTTTCTCATTTAAAGCGGAACTAATCACAGTCGTTTTTATTATTATTATTATTAACAGTATTGGGAAAAGTTACTTTTAAAAGTAATGCATTACAATTTTGCGTTACTCCATAAAAAAGTAACTAATTACGTTACTTAGTTACTTTTTATGGAAAGTAATGCGTTACGTTACATTTAAAATCTGGACAAGGCTTGCTTTCTTGCTTTTAAAATAAAAAAAGTTCAAATTTTGGCAAATATAAAAGCCTTTCACACCAAAAGTGAAATAAATAAGCCTCAGGCTGAAGGGAAAGTAAATGTACGTCCGTACAGTAGAACGCAGAAGAAGACATTTCAACACACTTCAGCAATAAAAAAAGACACACAAATGTTGTCTAGAGTAATTTGTGCTTATTAGTACGGTTGAACTGGATCATCGAAGGTCAGAAGCAAAGACATTGCTTAATAGAATGGGATTAAATACATAAAGGATATTTGTGCTGTTTAACATTTAATTATTGCAGGTTTGAGTCATATTCTGAGTTGCATTATTTTTATTCATTTTGAGGAATACTGAATCTGTGTTTTTTTTGTGTGAGTGAGATGAATTAATGCATATTCAGATTTATTTTAGAACTACAGTAACATCTTCTGATTTCTCTCAACATGGGGACAGCAGAGCTGTCAATCAATAAATTGGGGGAAAAAAGAAATGCGTTACTTTACTAGTTACTTGAAAAAAGTAATCTGATTACATAACTCGTGTTCCTTGTAATCCGTTTCCCCCAACACTGATTATTAATGCCAAGGTACCAATGATAAAAGTACATAAAATATCAATATTACGTACAAAGTGCTGACATTACATGCAAAGCACCATTTATAAATGTATATAACTATAAACAAATAATACAAAACGAAAGCTTTAACAAAATAAAATCATAGTCGTTTGTGATGAAAGGACACGGGATTTTGGTCTATAATTTTACAGCGATTGATGCGCCACATACAGTGGGGCAAAAACGTATTTAGTCAGCCACCAATTGTGCAAGTTCTCCCACTTAAAAAGATGAGATAGGCCTGTAATTTTCATCATAGGTATATCTCAACTATGAGAGACAAAATGAGAAAAAAAAATCCAGAAAATCACATTGTAGGATTTTTAAAGAATTAATTGGTAAATTCCTCGGTAAAATAAGTATTTGGTCACCTACAAACAAGCAAGATTTCTGGCTGCACACAAGTTTCTTCTAAGGAACGTAAAACGTCTTAATATTTGAGCGCAGCTTCATGGAGTACTGATTGTTGAGCCGTCGAGCGCCCCCTTGAGGAAGTGAAATGTTATCATACATAGCTATTATTAATGCGTAGTAAATAGTGCCACCCAAAAATATTCTGTTTCCTTGTACAACACAAAGTATTGTTTTGACAAGAGACTCACAGAGGCTTTTGAGAAGTGAAAATTGTCAGTTTAATTTATTTGTATCTTAAGCCTTCTTAGAATATTAGAAAACAAAACATTTGCCATTATACTGAGGACAGTAAGGTATTTATTGCAATATAAAATTGTACCAATATATAGTTTTACATTTTAGAAATAAAAGGATGAATCTCTGTAAAATAATGTTGGTCATATTTCACCCCAAAATTAAACGAAAATATAGTTTGACTTTCGCATATAAAAATGCCTATTCCTAAGACCATTATTTATTTAGATTGTGGCATTTTTAAATAGTTTTAACACCGATACCATTTAAAAATGTGTCCATGATCATTTACTAAACATAAATAAAAATAAGACTTCTTTATAACAATGAGAATGAATTATATATACCTTTAATGTTGGGGTGGAATAGGAATTTTCTTCATGAGATTCATGCAAGATGGCTATCTGTCTTGGCAGCAGATACTTAAATACACTTTGAGAAACGCTGTATGAGGCAAACAACCACACCAAAGCCTTATCAAACCGTTCCATCCTGATCTAGAGGTAAGAACAAATATTTCATCGCTTTTGAATCACCACTGAAAATTAACAACTCAATTTTAAAAAATGATCCCAAGTAAGTTCTGCATCTTGTTTGGATGAATTAAAACTTTCCCCTGAACAACAGCTGATAACAGAGAAAAAATTAAAGATGAAGCTCATGTAAACGACTTTGGTTCAAGTTTTCAATTCATTCGCAGTGTGTTTTAACAGGATTTCCCAGCAGCAGCAACCGAGTCGGAATAAAGCACCAGCAGCCCTTTGTTTTGAAGATTATTCCTCATGCGAGTTATGAGATCTTCTCGTAGAACAGGAGGTAGGCTTGGGAACTCTGCACTTTGACCTCTGGAACCGGATGGACGCTGCTGTCGCTGATGTGAAACCATGATCCTTTACTGGCCTCAGCATGACCTGCTACGAGATGATGGTTAGAAATAGATAATAATCAAAATGTCACTTTATTTCCAACTAAATGCAATTTGCATTAAGCACACACAAACTGATTTTCCGGCCTCCAATATTAATGCATGTTCACATAAATCTATAAAGGTCATCGAAACCTCCAACTCGACAGCACAGATACTCACAACCAGCATCCAGTCCATTTTCTACATAATTGCGCGTAGAGGGTCGTGATTTGACGTAGGCTGTATAATGTCCAGACCGCATGGTGCCACAGTGTTCCACTATACCATAAAGACTATACAGCACTCGCATCTCGCCCTCCTTCACTCCCTAAAAACACAAACACACATCTGGGTAACAGGGTTTGAGGCACTGCTGAACCAGTTTTGAGTGAGTTTACTGAACCCAGAACCCAAGGAGTGATGTAAGGATGGATACGTGATGTGAAAACCAATGATCATTTGCTTACCTTGCAGTTTAATGAGCAGAATGGAGCGAGATCCAGGATCTGAGGGAACTGCACATGTCTGTTCACCTTACAAACACTGTACCCAACCTACAGGCAAAGAAATGACAAAAAAAGTTTATGGTGTTAAAGAGATCTGACAGAGGATGAACAAGGTGTTTTACCTGCTGGAATCTCTTCAGGTGGAGCGTGAGCACTGCTGGAGGATCAGAGATCAACATCTGCTTCAGAGCATCTCTGTAAACAGCTTTCTTACCTGACGACAACAACAACAAAAAAAATCAGTTTAGAAGCTCGGTTTTCACAATTGAGGTTTATAATGAGGTTTCCAGGGGCGTGGGAAGATGTTTTAGGTTGGGGGTGCAGTACGCTGTACTGCGGGTGCGATAGAGGCTATTTACACTAAGTGAAAATAGCAGTATTTTTTAGTGATATGCTATTTACACTAAGTGCAAATCGCTATAGATTTTATTTATACCATGTTAAAATAGCAGGATATTCTGCTAATTACTTATTGCAAATAGTGGCAATTATCTGCACCTCAGCATTGTAATACATTATAAAACAGTATGCAATAATAACTTAGAGTGTACATTTTAATTCAGATTATTAAATGGATGCCACCTTATTGGGACAAAAGCCCTCTACACCTACCCTAACCCTACCCAATACTTTATTTTCAATTTTTTGATTATTTCCTTCATTTTTATAAAAAACTAAATGCTTTTTTGATGTGATCCGAAATTTGAAAAGGGAGAAAAAAAAAGTTCGCCAAAAGGCAGATTCGAACCCGGGTCGATCGCATCAAAAGGAGTATGACACGCTTTACCATCTACGCCACTGAATCTAACGATTGACGTCTGTCTTTAGTAATGTTGACTAGCCCCATCACACGTTGGTGAGTGGAGTTAGTATAAATAGCTTCTGCCAACAATGCGGGTACACTTAGTGTACATTTTTTAAAATTCCCAACAGTTAAACCATTGCCCACAGAAAAAAACAGGGGGGGCTGCAGCACCCTCAGCACCCTTCTGAAGTGTGAAGTGAAGGTGACATGTGGCCAAGTATGGTGACCCATACTCGGAATTAGTGCTCTGCATTTATCCATCCAAAGTGCACACACAGCAGTGAACACACACACCGTGAACACACACACACACACCCGGGGAGCACCTCAGTCGTGGTATTGAAGGTGGAAGAGAGCACTGTACATTCACCCCCACCTACAATCCCTGCCAGTACGAGACTCGATCAAAAGGAGTATGACACGCTTTACCATCTACGCCACTGAATCTAACGATTGACGTCTGTCTTTAGTAATGTTGACTAGCCCCATCACACGTTGGTGAGTGGAGTTAGTATAAATAGCTTCTGCCAACAATGCGGGTACACTTAGTGTACATTTTTTAAAATTCCCAACAGTTAAACCATTGCCCACAGAAAAAAACAGGGGGGGCTGCAGCACCCTCAGCACCCCCACCCCGCGCCTATGGAGGCTTCTGAAGTGTGAAGTGAAGGTGACATGTGGCCAAGTATGGTGACCCATACTCGGAATTTAAATTCCCAACAGTTAAACCATTGCCCACAGAAAAAAACAGCACCCCCACCCCGTGCCTATGGAGGCTTCTGAAGTGTGAAGTGAAGGTGACATGTGGCCAAGTATGGTGACCCATACTCGGAATTAGTGCTCTGCATTTATCCATCCAAAGTGCACACACAGCAGTGAACACACACACCGTGAACACACACACACACACCCGGGGAGCACCTCAGTCGTGGTATTGAAGGTGGAAGAGAGCACTGTACATTCACCCCCACCTACAATCCCTGCCAGTACGAGACTCGAACCCGCAACCTTTGGGTTACGAGTCCGACTCTCTAACCATTAGGCCACGACTTTGACCGTGTTGCGTTCAATTACTAAAAAACAGCTAATTTCAGGAGATCCAAAAAATCTGCACAGCAGCAAATACGGGTAAACGGTGTACAATGATTTTTGGTCAATTTAAAATATGAAAGTGGTCCGGCTTGAATAAAGCCCCATGCAATAATGTGCTCCAGACAACACCGAAGGCTATTTTTATATATTATTACATTATTATAAATTATAAATATAAATATTTAATATATTTTAATGTATTTAATGATTGCAAATAAGATTTTTTTAAAATAGCTGAAACATTTATACTGCTAAATATTTAAATTTGCATAAAAGTTGACAAATTAATTTGAAGTGGAAGAATAAATATTTGTATTGTAACTTGTAGTGTTGGTTTTTCTAGAGATTAAACCAAAAACACATTAAAAGTTAATATTTCCATTAGTAATAGAGTCTTTGTTCTTTTGTCTGGATGTCTCAGCAGTGGATATATGTAGAAATCATAATATGACAAAATAATCACAATGTATAATTTTTGGCCAAGTCATGCAGACCCACTGTAGAATAAAACAGTAAAAAAACAAAGTAATATTTTATGTTCACTTGCATGTCATGCAACTACCAACCAATATCATTAACAATACCAGTATTATTAAATTGGAGAAATACTAAGTACCTCAAAATCCCGGGGGGGTTTCAAGTAAATATTTTATGTGGTTCAGCTGACAAAATGTTTGTGAACCCTAGATTGGGCTGTTTAAAATGGAGACAAGAGTGAGCTAAAACAGCTGTTGATATGGTAAAAGTTGAGCACAGTACCGTCTGCGGCTTTATGTCCAGACTGGCGTTTTGTGCAGGTGACACACATCAGTCTGTTGTTCTCTGTGAGATGTTCCACCTCAGTGAACTGATACAGACAGGACTCCACCGAACACTCCTGCTTCTCTGGCGCCGTCCTGCTGGCCAGTGATTGAAAGGCCAGCTCAGGGTCCTGATTCACTACTGTGTATTCCTTCACATCGTCTGAGACCTCATCTCCATTCTCCATCTCACTTTCTGTTTTTAGTGACAGAGTATTCAGTTCTTCTGTTAACCGATCCTCTTCAGCACAAAGCTGGTCAGCACCATCATCTTCCTCAATTGCATTCACATCTTGTGCTTTTTCTCCCTCTACAGACACATCTTCAGAGGCCTGGTCTTCAGATAAAGCGTTAAAGCGGTTGCTGACAGAAGCAGCATGTTCTTGCTCAGATTCCTCATCATCTTCATCCTCATTTTGTGAGAGAGCAGGAGGTTTCTCAGGACTCAAATTCTCATGGCTGTTTTCGCCTGCTTCTTCATCAGCGCTGCCATTTACTGATAGACTCTGATTGGAGGCATCCGGTGGATCAGTGCTGCTAGCCGTGCTCTGATTGGTCAGAGCATCCAAAGTGACTTTACTGCCCAGTTTCTGCTGACGTCTCTGAGTCTATGGACACAAAAGTTAAAAAAATACATCTGTATCGCACTTGGACTGGATTCTACTTTGTAGTATATACTTTACATTTTTACTCAATTCACAAAAAAGTTTAAGAATAGTGGAGGCTAAATTGTGCATTAATCGGCCAAAGCAATTACTAATCCGTGCTCTGATTGGTCAGAGCATCCAAAGTGACTTTACTGCCCAGTTTCTGCTGACGTCTCTGAGTCTATGGACACAAAAGTAAAAAAAAATACATCTGTATCGCACTTGGACTGGATTCTACTTTGTAGTATATACTTTACATATTTACTCAATTCACAAAAAAAGTTTAAGAATAGTGGAGGCTAAATTGTGCATTAATCGGCCAAAGCAATTACTAATAAATGGCTAAAATAAATAAATAAACTTTTTTTGGCAATTTAATTCTGGCTCATATCAAGGCAATATATACATAATAGGTTTCAATGAAAATTTAATGGACACTTATTTTACATAATATTTACCCAAAATGCACAAAATAAATTATGAACAGTTGGTGCTAAAATGTCCAGCAATTGGCCAAAGAAATTACTAATAAATGGCAACATTTATTGCAATTTAATTCTGGCTCAAATAAAGGCTAGCTATATATACATATGCAAAATTCACAAAATAAATTGAGAACAGCTGGAGCTAAAACGTCTTGTTAAATTCCAATGACATTAACACTCAATGTACACATTTTGGCAATTAAACAGCCTGGTTGATATATAATATATATATACACACACGAGTACCACTAATTATAACACAATTACAAAGACATTATAATTCCCACTTTACTGACCATCTGAAATAGTGTGTCTGTGTGTGTGTGTCTTCACCTTGGTTTGTTTCTTGGCCTGTTTCTTTGCTTTCTTCTGCTGGTACTTGCTTCCTGTTCCTGTAGGCATGCCTTCATTCCCATTGGCCAGAGATGCTGTTTTCTCTCTGTCTCCATCACTGACGCTGCTCCGATACTGCGTGACTTTCTTCTGATTCTTCTTCCTGTAGGCCTGGAGGAAACACTCAAATCAGATCACTTCCCCAGAATATTCACATGAGGGATAAAGCAGCTACATTATTCTTACCTCATCAGCTACAGGAAGAGAAAGATCCAGAAACATCTCTGTCACCAGAGACACAGTTCTGCACTCTTTACACATCACTGTGCTGCTCATCTCTCCACCAAACACTCGGTCCACAAAGTTCTTGGGTGCACCGTTTCTCTCGTACTCTGGTGAAAATGAGTTATTAATTTAATGTTACTCCTGTATAATTAAAATATATATATATGTATGTATGTGAACCTGGACCACAAAACCAGTCATAAGGGTCAACTTTTCGTCTCAGCACTGCATATTACTAATCAAAAATTAAGTTTTGATATATTTACGGTAGGAAACTTACAAAATATCTTCATGGAACACGATCTTTATTTAATATCCTAATGATTTTTGGCATAAAAGAAAAATCGATAACTTTGACCCATACAATGTGTTTTTGGCTACTGCTACAAATATACCCCAGCGACTTAAGACTGGCTTTGTGCTCCAGGGTCACATACATATATATATATATATATAAATAAAAGTTTTGGGTTTATTCATACTCTAAAATATATTATTGCCATTTTGGTAATCTGATAATGGCTTGTACCTTTAATAACCTTTTTCATCTGCTCAATGCTTTTGCCAGAGTTTTTCAAAGCCTCCAGAATTCCAGAATTTACTCTCTAAAAATTACAGGACATGAACACAGAGTAAAAGAAGGATTTAGTTCAACCAAAATGTCTCAAATATTTTTTTTTAAGTCGTTTCAAGTGACAAAAGAAAACAAGCATTTCATCTGGTTTGTGTTCACGTCCTGTTAGAGGTTCATACTTTCACTTCTTCTGCTCTAATGCCGTCCAGAAGGTACCGCAGAAGCTCCTGACTGTCCTGCTGCTGAAAGCCTTTAAAGCGTGGAGCTCTGTGAAAAATAGTTCATAACAAGACTCCTGGTCAACAAGGCTGAATGTATTTGATCAAAAATACTGATAAACCATTAATATTGTGAAAAATTAGTAGAGTTTTTTTTCTTCTTCAGGATTCCAGGGACCAAGAGACCAAATATATGAAATAGAAACATTTTTAGGAAATGCAGGTGTCAAATACATCAGTAAAACAGAACTTTTCTCTTATTATGAGGTGACTACACTGTGTAGCTACTTACTTTTTACACACTTGTGTGAAGAGTTCTTTAGGGGTCACGACACCTTTCTTAGTCGCCTGGATTTCATTCAGAAACTGACACATAGCCAGTGTGAGCGACCCGGGCCTTTCCAGCTGGATCTGAAGAGGTTCCTGAAAACATGACGTGAAAACATCCTGTTAGATGAAGCTTCATGCATAAAAAGAACCAGAAAAGAACATAATGCAGCTCAGCATCAGTACCAGCTCAGAAGACACTGCAGGTGTGACGGTGAAGCAGCTCTTCTCATCTGTGATCTGGTTCAGCAGTTCTCGCAAAAACTGCGTCTGCGATACATTCTGAGAGAGAGACGAGAACATCGGGGTTTGCAGAGCTTGCATGCACATTGCTGTTTCTCACGTGAAGCGTCTCGAACTCTGAATCTGTACCTGCATGACTGCATTGAAGAAACACGTGTTGCCCAGATTACTGAGACCCCTGACGCTCACGACACTAGAGTTTCCTGCGGCTGCTGCTTTCTGTCTTTTGGCGCGGTCATCATGTTTTGAGCTGCTCTTCTGCTTCTCCTTGTTCTCGTTCTCCAGCGTTTGCTCTGCAGGATTCGTCACTGAACTCTCTTCCGTCTTACTTTCTGCAGAGTATGTTTGCAAATGTATGTTTTTTGTTTTTTTTGAGTAAAGACACTACAGGCAAAAACATGTTACTATTTCATGCACTGGTCAATTTTGAGAGTGGCTATTCGGTCTTCTTTCAAACAAATACATTAAAAAACACTTATTGGTCAACTACTACTGCCATTATATAAGTGCAAATGGCTCTAAAACCTCTAAAACACCTACTTCTGTTGGAACTCCTCTTGCCGGGATCCGACAGCACTTGTTTTCTAATGTTTGTGATCAGCTGCGCCAGCTGCCCAGTGCTGGAAAACTGAACGTCATCATCACAGATGTAACACCTGCAGCACACCGGAGCAGAAGGTAAGAGGTATGAACACACAAACCCTGCCACATTTCAGTGAGGAGGTGGGTGCGTGTCACTTACCAGACGCTCCACACGTCCAGACTGAGCACTAAACAGTGTGGCTCAGATCGAGGCGTCTCGTAGTGCTTGATCGCATGCTGATTCTCCGATCTCCCGCAGCCCTGATGAGGATCACAACATTGTTTATGTGCAACTGGCCAATAGCAACATGTCATAAATCACCTGGGCTGCATTTCCCAAAAGCATCGTAAGCCTAAGTTGATCGTAGCTCCATTGGTGACAATGGTTCTACATTCAACTTAGGCTTACTAAGTCCTGTTACTAAGCCCTGATCACGTACTCTGTGGCCGCATTTCAGGCACATCCACACAGCTGGACTTTCTCTGTCAGGTTCATTCTCTAAGATCTGCTGTTCAACAGGTTTGTCCGGCTCACAGTCTTGACACAAGCTCCATTGCTCATTCAGACCGGCTTTCTTCAGTAAGTTGTGCTCTGTTCCTTTACGGATGTGAGTGCAGGAAACCCCTTACAAAGCAGCAGCAGAATCATGTGAGGTTTCATGATTAAAATCACTGTCAGCATCTCATTGTTCTGGGCAGCTGTCATACATGTACCTGCTGTCTCAGTGCTGCTGTCTGCTCGAGGACTGTCTTTCCCCTTCTTTTTACCCATTTTGGTTTTTAGAAGAGCACCTGAATGGGGTTAAAAACATGACATGTATATTAACAACACATAATAATACAACATAAGTCATAATAATACAACATTATACTTTTATTATATCAAATGAACGCCAATGATTGACTGTTCTCTGCAAATACCTCTCCGGTGCCAAATACTTTGAGAAAAGTAATAAAGTGGCATCAATTTAAAGATTACGTGATTAATATACAATTAATATTGGACGTTAAATCCACTGAAAATATGAATGAACTGCAACAGCTTTTATTTTCAAAAGAAAAACATGGCAAAAACCGTTTACGTCTACTTACGAAGCCACCAAATTCATTTAAATCTCTGTAAAGGGAAATTCATCTATTTAAATTCCCGTAATTAAACGGTTTATAGCGACACAAATTGCATTAAAACGAAGCATGTTCTGACTATTTCCGGGTGACGCTCCATTCCGCTTTAGTTCATTTCAAAATAAAAGTCTGACTGAAGCATATTTAAATGAAGATATGGCAGGGCACATATTCTTCCTCTGAACGGGATCCAGGGGGAGCCCATCTCATGGGGTAACACATAAATAAAAATAAACAAATATACATATACATACAAAGGTTATACACATAGATTTTAACTAGACTACATTTATACTCGGAAAATATGCTCAAACTCCCCATTTGTTGATAGTTTTTGAGGTTTTTTATTTCTCCTTGAGAAAATAGATTTGCTGGTCTTTGGCCTGCGAACCTAATGGTTAGCCATTATTATTTTAAGATGATATTTGTATTTGTAAACTAGTTTTGTCAGGAGCCAAAAAGTCTGTTCTTATATTAAATGAAAAGAAACACATTTAACAGTGCTTTACATGTCAGGTACTTGTCTTGCACTGTAAAATGAACCCTAACAACCCCTTAATACAACCCCTATACAGCCATCTTCTATTATTACACCAAAGGTTAGAGCCTATATTGTTAACTACACAGTTCTCATTTTCCTTGTCTGTCAAAAAAATTAAATAATAATAATAATTGACACCCCATTCCTGCTGCATTGTCTTGGGAAAGTACCATTTGTCCGATTGTAAATCATTGAAATTCACCTGCAAAATCAAGTCACTTTTATTTATATAGTGCTTTATACAATATTGATTGTGTCAAAGCAGCTGTACCGTGTCGACAGGAAAATAGCTTCAATAATGCAAGAGGAGAATAACAAAATCCAAAAGAGTCATTTTCCAGCAAAGTCAGTTCATTGATGATTCAGTGATGTCTTCATCCAGTTCAGCTCTCTTCCAAAAGTGTCCGTGCAATCAGTCAAGCGTCCCATTTGTTCGTTAACAATGGCAAATGAGGAACATCAGTCATATGAGGCACTGAATTTCTGCTGACTATTAGAACAGACGGAATACATTTATGAACTGTCAGATTGTTTAATGTTTATACAATGATTATACCTTCTCTAAAACTCCCCAAATAACAATATATAAATAAAAAATCATCCATCCAATCTCTAAAAATAGTGATTTAATCCTACATATGATAGAGCTGTTATTCCAAATAGGTGTATTATGCGTAGAGAATTAATACACTGATGAACCAAAACATTATGGCCATTATGCAGCCCAAACAGCACGGCCCGCCAAGTGACAGACTAGACCCCTGAAGGTGTTATCTGGCACTAAGACATTAGCAGTAGGCTAGATCCTTCCTGTCCTTGAGTTGTGAGGTTGAGCCGTCATGGATTGAAGTGGTTGGTCCAGGACATCCCACAGATGCTCAATCAGATTAACATCGGAAGAATTTGGAGATCTGGACCCGTATTCACAAAACATGTTATCTTACCACTAAGAGTTCTCCTAAATAGCAGTAAACGTTTTTTAGCTAACCTATTTACAAAGCTGCTGAGACAAACTTTTACTAAGGAATAGAGAGAAGTCTTGAGCTGTCCACAAGAACGAGGTTATTTTTAAAACCGCAGCTTTTTCTACGCGGTTAGGCCGTTCGTCCACACACAGCACCAGTCACTGAAACCGAACATTTTTGAAAACGCCTGCCAGGGTGAAGATTTTCAAAAACTCCGGTTGCAGTGTTATCGTGTAGACAGCGAAACCGGCGTTTTTGGCTTGTGACGTCGGAGCCTGCTCTGTTATCTCCGCCTACTGGAAACCTTTTCAGGCTTCTGATTGACCAACATGGCTTTTTGGGGGAGTCGTGGCCTAATGGTTCGAGAGTCGGACTCTAACTCAAAGGTTGCGGGTTCGAGTCTCGTACCGGTAGGGATTGTAGGTGGGGGGAGTGAATGTACAGCGCTCTCTTCCACCTTCAATACCACGACTGAGGTGCCCTTGAGCAAGGCACCGAACCCCCAACTGCTCCCCGGGCGCCGCAGCATAAATGGCTGCCCACTGCTCCGGGCCTGTGTTCACGGTGTGTGTGTGCACTTTGGATGGGTTAAATGCAGAGCACTAATTCCTAGTATGGGTCACCATACTTGGCCACATGTCACGTCACTTTCACTTTTTACGGTTGAGATTATATCGCCACCTGTTGGTTTGGCATGCTCTTGACAGTGCTTCATAGCATGCGTTTGCATTCTCATGTGGACGGAGATTTTCTTTTAAAACGGAAGAAGGAAAAACTCCCGTTTTAAAAAATATCCGTGTAAGTGTCAGTGTTGCCAATTTAGCAATTTTGTTGCTAAATTTAGCAACTTTTCAGATTACCCTAGCAACTTTTTCTTCCAAAAGCACCTAGCAACAAATTTAGCCATTTTAAAATTTTATTTGGCTACTTTTAGCAACTTTTGATAAGTGACACGAACAATAAAAAGGCACACATTTTCCATCTAAATTTCACAAAAAGAGGAAACCAAAGATGCCTAGCAGTACACACATTACGTGAATTAAATTATTGCTATTTGCAATTGTTCAATTTGATAATAATAATAATTTAATAACTGTTCATTTATGATACACCTTGTTGTACCTGTGATTGTTGACACTGTAAGAAAAATATCAAGAAAAATTGAAAAGGTAGGCTTCTAGTAATTTTCCAGGACACTATCCGTTATCCATTATCCATTGTAAACCCTTTAACCCGAAACACAAAATACAATGCGTAATTTAAAATGCCGGTAAAAACCTGTGAATTCTTTTTCACAGTGTAGCATACCGACTACTAATACACTGCTTAAAACTAATTGGTCAG